AATATTCAGAAAAGGTTGGCCATGTCTTGACATCCTGTGAGGGATAGTCAATCCTGAACCATACCACAGGTCCTTAAACAATCATAGTGATATCAACTATCCTTCCACGTCTCCCCCATTGGGCTTCCCTCTTGGCTTTTGTGACATCCCATCCCATTGTAGATGTTCACATTATTCATTGTTCAATTGATGTGACATTTCTACTGTAACCAGAATGACTTCAGCTGTTTGAAATGTTTTAGTAAAGTCCAACTAGATCACACCCACTGCAACACCCTGGTGACACTTTTACTTTTATGTTAACAGAAAATAATACAATTACTTTGACATGACCTGTTCTTCTTTAATGGACACTGTGGGCACTGAAATTGCTTAATCTCATTGAAGTGATTATAATGAGGTCATCAATAGTGATGATCTCAGCCAATGGAGGAGCGGCGTCCGCAGCTAGAATGGCATGGTGGGGGAATAAAGCTGGGTCAAACTATTTTCATTATTACTTCTGCAGGAGTGGGGACAATAATCTAACTAGAGTGTAAAATATTCAATTGTTAGGACATGTTTTTATTTTTAACGCAATAGTGTTTCTTTAAATACTTTCCCTATCAAAAACGTGACACTCACAGGTCTGTAATCCCTAGAGTGTGATACATTTTTTTACATCTAAGAGAGACAGTCATTGAGGGTAAACAATTAAAGACCAATGGTTTTCATCATATATTGAATGAGTGATAGATTATTGGGGTGAATGAGTGATATATTACTGGGAAGGGCAGATAGACTCATTCATACAGACCTGCATAGATTTGAAATGTTTCCTATTCATCAAGCAAAAATAAAACTCACAATTTTCTTCCAAATGGGTCTTCAGGGGATCCTACAACATCTTGCACATCCTCTGTTAGTGCTTCTATATTAATAACATTTTTGTTTTGTTACTGATTCATGCAGCCCAGACTGTCTCCCATAACAAATCTTTAGGGGAATAGAGACATGGAAAAATCCAGCAGAGGCCAAAATAATCTTGAATACAAACCATGTGTAACTACGTAAAATCCTGCTTAGCAGCAGCTGCGGGGTTAACTTTCTGAATATCGTTGCTGAGGTTGACTTTCGAATGCTGGGAAACTCTTGGACGTTGGAATACTGGGTAGCAGGTGAACTAGTGAAAGACCAGTAATGTTGCACAATAAAAAGTACATCAATGTAAAAATAAACCTCTATATTTTCTGTCTAGATGCATTAATGAAGCCATACAGTTTAAAGGGACACTTTGAATACTGTAACCACTAGAGCCCCACGGCGTCATCCAAGAGTAATCTGTCAAACTGTTTTTGGTAACCTGGGTACCCTTGGGAAGCCTGCACTGTATCCGATAAACCTAATGGCTTCATTGCGCTAAGCAGTTCTGATACACAGCCACGCGCAGGCACTTGAATTATCCTCTCAGTCAATAAGAGCAGCCTTTCACCGCCATGCCTTGCTCAGAGGACATGACTGGGTTCTCCAGCAAGTTGAATCCTGAAGCAGGGCTGTGGCCGCTGGTGGACGGCAGGAACCAGGTAATGTGCCAAGCCATTCCAAAATGGTCGACAAATTACTCATGGAGGGTGCCAGGGCACTACTCAACACTATAGGGAGTGATTATGGTGCTTGGAGTGTTATCTTAAGGTCATGTTTGTGATTTTCCATACAACTCAACATTGGGAAATATTTAATCAGCTGGTTGGGTTATGAGATGAAATGCTCATCATTGGTTACTTGTGTACAAGCCACACTCTTAAAGGACCACTATAGTGCCTGGAAAACAGACTCGTTTTCCTGGCACTATAGTGCCCTGAGGGTGCCCCCACCCTCAGGGTCCCCCTCCCGCCCGGCTCTGGGGAGAGGAAGGGGTTAAAACTTACCTTTTTTCCAGCGCCGGGCGGGGAGCTCTCCTCCCTTTCGGCTGGCTGCGCGCGCATTCAGCCGGTCTCATAGGAAAGCATTCATAATGCTTTCCTATGGACGCTTGCGTGTTCTCACTGTGATTTTCACAGTGAAAATCACGCAAGCGCCTCTAGCGGCTGTCAATGAGACAGCCACTAGAGGATTTGGAGGCTGGATTAACCCTAACATAAACATAGCAGTTTCTCTGAAACTGCTATGTTTATTGAAAAAAGGGTTAACCCTAGCTGGACCTGGCATCCACACCACTTCATTAAGCTGAAGTGGTCTGGGTGCCTAGAGTGGTCCTTTAAAGGGATCATGTTAGCCTGCTGTACATAACTACCAAAATCCTGCGTGTTTCACAAAAAGTAAGTTGACAATGTTCAGTAAGTACTGTAGCAATTATAATTTATTATACAATTTATATCCTACTGAATCCCTATATTTTAAAATAAAATTTATTTTTCATAACTCACTCCTATTTTATATTTATATTAAATATTAAAAATTTAAATGTGCCAATTTACCCTACATAAGCACAAGTGTAAATTTGCAAGCCATAGACATATAGTCATCGTCAGACATGTTGGTGGTTAATTAGCTGAGCGTTTTGCATGTGTCATCAAACACAAATACCAGTAACACAAGCTGCCGCTGGAAAGGGAGACTGATTCTCTTCTCTACCTCATAAACCAATTGCCAATGGTAAAGGGGACCAACCGTCACTGCTCCCGGAACTCCGGCTGCCACTGGGGAGGGAGGCTGATATTCTCTTCTCCCTAATGAACCAACTGCCACTAGGGAAGGGGACTGACTGTCTCCGCCCCCCGCTAACTCCAGCTGCCACTGAGCAGAGAGGCCGATACTTTCCTCTCCCTGGAGAACCAACTGTCGCTGGGAAGCGGGACTGACCTTCACCGATCCTGGAAGCTCAGGTTGCCGCTGGGGAGGGAGGCCGATAATCTACTCTCCCCAAACACTCAACTGCCATTGTGAAGTCTGATACTCTCCTTTCCCGACAGTATGACCTGCCGCTGGGGAGGGAGGCTGGCTGTTTCCACTCCCGGTTTTTCACTCTACCTCTAGGGATCAAGACTGACTGTCTCCACTCCTGATAGCTATGGCTGCAACTGGAGAGTGAGGCCGAAAAACCAGCTGCCGCTGGGGAGGAAGACTGATGGTATCAACTCCCGATAGCTCCAACTGACGCTGGGGAGGGAAACTGACCATCTCAGCTCCCGGTAATACAACCTGCTGCTAGGGTGGGAGCTCTGCTCCGAGTGGTGGGATCTGCCACTGGGGAGGGAGGCCAACACACTCCTCTCCCGATAACTCACTCTGCCGCTGGGGAGGGAGATTGACCCTCTACGTTTCAAGTAACCCAGTCAGCCACTGGAGAGGGAGGCCAACACTCTTCGCTCCTGGTAACTCAAGCTGCTGCTGGGGAGGTAGGTCGGCTACCTCTACCTCTTCTTGTTGGGTTTCCATCCGCTGCTGGGGAGCTATTGCGGTGACCAGGATCCCTATGCCAGGGGGTTGAGGATCGGGGCCGGCTGCCCAGCATCCCTGTGATTGAGGTTTAGAGAATACTGTTCTCTCCACATCTACCTTTCCAACATCCTCTGATGTAAAATCTATTAAATCCCCAGTCTCTGGGACCTGCTGCTGTACAGAGTGAAATAATCGCTAGTAATCCAGTTCAAGCTCCCACTCCATTGTGGTCTGGAGGTCAAATCAGGTTCCAGATCAGTTGTTGTGAGAGATCCAGTAGGTGTTCCCTATTTTTCCGAATGTCATAGAGCCGGAACTTCACAGAACTTCCAAATTCAACTTTTTCCTCTAAGGCCTTCCAGAGTAAGCCAGGGCCCTTTGCAGAACTCAAGTCAGCACATGGATAGATGTGTTTAACCCTTTAAGGACACATGACAGAAATATTCTGTCATGATTCCCTTTTATTCCAGAAGTTGTGTCCTTAAGAGGTTAAAGAAACGCTCACTCTGAACTTTTTGGGCACTTTTATCTGATGCCCAGGACAGTTTGACATGGGTCCCAAATCACAGTAGTCCATTTGGAACTGGGTTAGTTGTCAGGCTTCATCAGGCACATCCTATGGACATTACTAGGCACATTACTAGGCAAATAACTGAGTCGCTGATTTTGATACTTGTGTTTATGGACCTTTATCTCCTTAATCAAGCTTTTACAATTGACTAATTTGTGAATTTGCCTTTTGTCACACATGTGGTTCAGTGATTCTCACACTTAATGAAAGCTACTGTCTCAATAAATTAGTGGAAGTGGACAGTTTCTGTTGTTTTGTCAGTTGACAGATGCTGTATGTTAGTGGATGTGGTCTGTCTCTGTGTTAGTTGATGGGTGCTGCTGAGCCAGTAGATTAGTGGATATGGCCAGTCTCTGTGGTTCGGTCAGTTGACAGATGCCGTATGTTAGTGAATGTAATCAGTCTCTGCAGCTATGTTAGTTGATGTAAACGGCTGTATCAGTAGATTAGTGAATCTGGTCAGTCTCTCTGATTCAGTCAGTTGACCAATGCTGTATGTTAGTAGATGTAGTCAGTTGTTATAGTTGTGTTAGCTGATGTAAGCTGCTATGTCAGTAGATTAGTGGAAGTGGTGGTATCTGTGGTTGTATTTGTTAATGGGTGTGGACTTTTTCTTGCATTCAGCTGTAGAGAAAACTGTATGAACCTGGCTACTCAGTCACCAAGGGTTGCTGTTTATTATTTTTATTTTATTTTACAGTTCTTATACAGCACTCTTATCCAGAGTGCTTAACCCCTTAAGGACAGAGCTTCAGAAGCTTGTCTTTCACTTAATGACAACAGCATTTTTGTAATTTTTTGCTGTTTGCGTTCAACTGCAATTTGCATTTTATTAATTTATTGCACCGACACATATTATATATCTTTTTTTTAAAGGACAGAAAGGGCTTTAATTTGATGTAAGACACACACACATATATATATATAAACAAAACCAAGAGGGCTGCACTCACCTAAACATGCATACATTATAGGGTGCTGCTGGGGCCAAACTATACAAAATACAGAATCCAGCGCACTCGCTTATTCACTAAACAATGCTTTCAAAATTTTACAATTTCTAAAATTTTGAAAGCATTGTTTAGTGAATAAGCGAGTGCGCTGGATTCTGTATTTTATATATATATATATATAAATGCTTATTTATTATAAAATAAATACAGAAAAATGCAAAAACAATTAAAATCTTTGTTTTTTTTACAGTTTTTGCAATAATAATGTGTGCATAATTAGTGCAGGTTAAGGAAAGTAATTAAAAATAAATTAATTTAGTTGTTCTGATTTACAGAATATATAATATGTCTGGGATTTTAAGTTTTTTTTGGTAGTTACAGGTCACAAAGCACAAGGAGTAAAACTTTTTAATGTGGAGCGATTTTAGAATTTGGTATGTTTGTCTTGTAAGCTTAATAGCCATAAAAGAAAACAAAATGGCCACACAAACGTATATATTTATATAAAGTAGACATCACGGGCTATTTACCTAAGGTTGTTTTGACACTTTCTACGTAGCCTCTGCTAAATGTTGGAGTAAAATTGTGTTTTTTTTGGCACACAAACTTATAACAAAGAACTTCTCATGTATATTTTGTAAAGTTGGTGTGTGCTATTCCTGTACAAAGTTTTATTTTGTGTTCAGTTACATCTGCTGAGTAAAATGGCACACCCATTGTATGTCTTCGGCACTATTTTGTGAAGTTACAGTGCCATATAGGAGGCCTGTTCTTTTCAGTATTCACAGTAGAATTTTGAGGGATGGATTTCATGAGCCTATGCTTCCATTTGGGGTATTGTAACAGTTTGACTGTTCAAAAAAGCCCACAAAGGCCTACCATTTGTAAAAGTAGACACTCCAGGGTATCTCATAAGGTGCATATTGTGCCTTAACATGCCCCCATTTTTCCACCAATATATGCCAAAGTATGTGGTAAAACGTAATTTTGTGCGTTTTTTACACATGGATTGCATTTTTGCTGGGCATTTTGTATATTTCACATGTGCCACTAAGTTCAAACCCCCCAAGTTATGCTCAGCTAAGTCTTCTGAGTAAAATGACACCCCCATTGTATGTCTTTGGCACTATTTCGTGAAGCTATAGTGCCATATAGGAGACCTGTCCTTTTCAGTATTCACAGTAGAATATTGAGAGGCGGATTTAATGAGCCTATGCTTCCGTTTGGGGTATTATACCAGTTTAACTGTTCAAAAAAAAACCATAGAGGCTTACCATTTGTAAAAGTAGACACTCCAGGGTATCTCATCAGGTGCATATTGTGCCTTAACATGCCCCCATTTTTTCACCAATATATGCTAAAGTATGTGATGAAAAATAATTTTGTGCGTTTTTTACATATGGATTGCATTTTTGCTGGGCATTTTTTATATTTCACATGTGCCACTAAGTTCAAACCTCCAAACTTATGCTCGGCTAAGCCTTCTGAGTAAAAAGACACCCCCAATGAATGTCTTTGGCACTATTTCGTGAAGCTACAGTGCCAAATAGGAGACCAAGCCATATCATTTTTTACCGAACTTTGAATTTTGACGCTGGGCCTATGTGCAATTTCCAAGCATCTTAGCAGGGTTTAAATTCAAACTACCCCACAAAGGCCTACCATTTATTAAAGTAGACACCCCAGGGTATTTCAAAAGGTATATTTTGAACCTTAGCGTGGGATCATTTTTCCGCTAGCTTGTACCAGGTATAGTGGTAATGAGCATTTTTAAATGTATTTTTTTACTTTTTGAAACTTTTTTCCCCTTTTTAAAACTAGTTTTTAAACTTCTGTTTTGCTTATTCATTTTTTTTAAACTTTCCTAAACATTCTTAAATGTTTTTTTTTACAGATTTAAAATTTTTCTAAGCTTTTTTTTTTACCGTTAACCCCTAACTATCAGTAAGCAGCACTAACAGTAAATTCCCCATTTTCCCATAACTGCCACCCACTCCAGCTAGCAAAATATATAATTATAAAATATTTAAATTAATTAAATAAATTGAACTCCTAAAGGTTAAGAAATAAATAAAAGTTAATCCTCAGGGGTTAAAAAAAATTAGATCACAGTATAATACTTTGATCTGTATTTTGATCACTGTAGGCAGTGATCGACTGGCAGGGAAGGGGTTTATTTTTATTTGGACTGGGTAAAGGGGGCTGTTTTTTTATTTTTTTTACTTAAACGTTAATACAACTTTTTTTAGCTTAATTTTTAACTTTTTAAAGTTTATTTTAAAACTTTTGTAACGTTAACCCCTAGTTAGCCTAACACCAAATCCCCCAATTCCCCACTAACTTCCACCCACCCCAGCTAGCTAAACATATAATTTTAAAATATTTAAATTAATTAAATAAATTTAACCCCTGAGGGTTAAAAAAAAGAATTAACCCTCAGGGGTTAAAAAAAATATTCAGATGACAGTAAAATGTAATCCCTGCCAATTGATCACTGTAGTCAGTGATCAATTGGCAGGGAATGGGTTCATTTTTAATTAAAATGGGTAAAGGGGGGGTGGGATTTTAAATTAACTTTATTTATTTTTTTTAACAGGGGGCAAGATCATCACTGATCCATCTCCCTGCACTTCATAAAGAACCAGGAAGTGCAGGGAGGCGGAAGGTAAGTATACTAAGCACATGTGCTCGCTCAGACATGCTGTCAGAGCGAGCACATGTGCTAGGCAACACTATCGGGTGCTCCCGGTCTGCCTCTAGTACAGAGGCAGACCGGAGCACTATTAACCCCGCGATCGCCGCGATAGGGGTTAAAGCAGACCTCTCACTTTTCAGTATTTCATAAAGGTATGTTCATTGAAATTCCTGCGCAATCCAAACAAGCCTTACGACAAAGTAGGGACTACTTTGTCTTACGGTAAAGACTGGGATGTCATGGTGTAATACCCCAACACGCAGAGTTTAGGATACCAAGGGACAAGACTAGGCTATAACGTATTACCTGACCTTAGAATGGTCAGACTAAACGCCAGACAGAGATAAAGCGTTATAGAGATGAGCCAAGGTCGGGGTAACGGAGAGACAGGAAACACGAGAACTAGCCAGAGTCAGGTACACAGTAATCAGTCATATGGGCAAACAAGACAGGAAAAGGTTTAAAGATAAGTTTAAAGATAAACTCAGAGTCAGGAAGAAAGCCAAGGTCAATACCAGAATAATCACAATAGATCAAGAACGCACTAAAGGGTACTGAAACATAAAACAAGATAAGACAAAGTGGATAGGGCTAGGGGATTTTAAATATCCTTTAACTAACATTTGATTGTCCCACGTCATGCCTACGCCCCAAAAAAGTGCGTGTGTGGAAGTGCCGGAATGACGCGGGCCAATGTGAGCGTGAATCCACTTTTCGTTCCCACTGCCCCTCTATTGGAGCCATGAGGGACAGCTTGAGACAAGTAAAACATGCATCCCATGCAATCCGTGGCCACCGGACTCACATCAAATCTGTTTGTTTTGGTGTGTTTGTGTAATATGTGAAGACTCCTGGAATTGACAGATCAGGTTTAACAATTTATGCAAAGAACATTGGTAATTACACTAACAGGGCATAAATAATTAGACAACCGTATAATGTAGTTTCCATTGAGTTTTTGAATTTTTGGAAGAGTGGGCTTTACATTATTTAGGAAAAGTACTGACTGGAATATCTTATTAATGGCTAGCAGTCATCATCCACAACATTCTTCCTGTTTTGCAAAATCTATCACATTACGGTAACAGAATACCAATTAAGCATGTACAACTGGCCATGTGGTATATCTGACCGCCTGCCCATGCAGACTATGATACATTGGCAAGACATGCCTTACTTCAAGGGACCACATTAAAGGACATCGTTCAGCAATTTCTACTGCTTTTTTGTGTGAAAAACACTTTATTTGGACTATTTTTTTTTTATAGATTACTCACTCTTAGATGTATAGGTATCGATCATGTTCATCCTCTACCCAGAGGAGGTGATCGTTCCATATGGTTCCATACTCATGTTTTCCCAGTAATATTTGCAGTCTTCTCCCCTTTTTCTTCTTGGTCCATTGGGCAAAGTTTTTTGTTCTTTATTCTTTACCTTTTTACCTTCACACTTTTTCATTTGTCCACACACACCTTTCTACACGCTATTCATGCCACTCTTTAGCATACTTGTCCCTTCACACAGCATTCATTTTCTCTATTCCTTTTTTATTCACATTAGTTTCCCCCTTCACACATCACATGACAGCACATTTTCATTGTTTTACATTCAGACCACATTTTTTTTAAATATATTCTTCATTCATTTTCTTACTATTTGTTTCCATTTATTTTCATTTTTATATTTTCATACTTTGTTGCATGTCTTTTTTTTACTCTCTTTTTTTGTTTCTTTATCATTCATTCTTCAGCGCATACTTTTCGCCCATACTGCACACCTTAGCAAACTTGCTCCACTCACACACAGCAGCATTTTCCATAATCTTGCTACCCTCTAAACATCTTGGTTTTCTTTTCCCGCACACATTTATATCATTCTTTTCCATTCTCCCTTTTGTATATCCTAGCCCTGTTCTTCTCCTCCATTGCAAAGCATTTACATATCAGCTAGTGCACTTCCAATATCAATCACTGTGGTTATTTGTTTGTTCCTTAGCAACCATCCAAACTATTCACATGGGTCATGCTGCTCACCTCACATGATCGCAGGATTTTGCCGGGACACCTTCTTGTTTGGTCGCTAGGAGGTCCTCAGGCAGTGTCACGTCATTGGTGATTACTGCATACTAATTTCTAATATATACACTGCTTTTTATTATTCTTGTGATCTTGAAAAAGAGCCGGTTGGGTCGAAACATCGGTTTTGTGTTTCACATGAAAATTCTTTTAAATTCACCTGGATTTAGTTCCATGAGTGCATTCCTATGATTTCATTTATAGATGCATGTGGCGTGCACCTGAGCATTTATCGTTAATTATTTAGCGCCAAACTTTTCATATCATAATTAGACACACAAATACGAAAGGAGAAGGGATACCTATCCCTAGGCTTCAACCTCCTACAAAGTACTATGCAAGAAAACCCATAAGCTTCCTATCTACATGTGATATAGTAGCTA